AAAATTATTTTATTATCAAATGATTTTCCTAAAAGGTTAAATGAAATGGCAGAGCTTGAAGTCCACATTTAGACCCTGGCGATATAATGTTCCTAAATTGAAGATCCACTTCATTTCGTTTTGACCCAAACTCTTAATTAGATCTCCTCCATGCTAATTTCCTGTTGCTTTCTGGATGCCCATGAATTGGAGGTTGCTTGGGTCATTATTACGTTTATTTTTAAAATGTTGTGACACACTGTGTCCTTCAGACCCTTTTTTGATATTTGTAATGTGCTCCTCTATCCTTGTGTGGAGGTTTCTTTTGGTGCAGCCTACTTATTTTAGGCCGTATGGGCATTCCATCAGATAAACCACGTTTACCGAGTGACATGTTATTAATTCCTTAATTTTGAATTCCTCATCTTGTTTAGAGTTCTTGAATTTGGTAATGTGTCTTTTTTTATTTTCTGTGTTTTTACAAGCAGAACAAATGCCGCATCCAAAAAAACCTTTCCTGTTGCTAATAAAATTTGAAGTTGATTTCTTTTTTATGTGGTTCTTAGTTAATAGTTGTTTGAGGTTAGGTGCGCCTCTAAAAATTATTTTTGTTTTTTTGGGTATAAGGTTTAATAATTGTGAATCTTGTTTTAGGATCGGCCATTGCTTATTGAGTGTTTTCCAGATTCCTCTATGATTGAAGCTATAATAGCACACAATAGGTATATCATTTTCCTGTGTTTTGTTTATTGGTATTTTCTATTTTAAAAGTGTATTTCTGTTTATTTGTCGATAATTTTACTCCAAATCTGTTTCCTTATAGCATTTTTCTAGTAAATCTGTCTTTAGTTTAAATTTATCTTCTTCTGTGCAATTTCTTCTAATGTGAAGGAACTGAGACTTCGGGACACTTTTAAGCCACGGTTCGTAATGACAGCTTGATATGTGTATAAAGCTGTTTATGTCCACGGTTTTGAAATGGGTATTGATTTTAATTATTTTTTTTCAATGAATATATTGAGATATAGAAATACTGTTTGTTTTTTTGCTATAATTCATGGTGAGGGTAATTCCCCATTCGTTATTATTTAGGTTATCAATAAAAATTTTCAAAGTGTCTTCTGTGCCATTCCAAATAAAAAACAAATCGTCTATGTACCAGCGATAGGTCACCAGGCCCTACACCCAGCCATGATTACGCAATATAAAATGGTGTTCCCAATTAGCCATAAATAAGTTTGCATAGCTGGGTGCGAACCTGGTACCCAGGAATAGTGGTGGGATGCTGCCCTAAAAAACATACCGGTCCAATTTACAGAACCAAAATATAAGCTCTGGAAAATGCGAGTGATCCATTAATCTACTTCATTTGAAATTGCACAATCTGCACTACATTATATATTTTTTATCTTCCATATCTGTGTGTGATGTATACGACCTAATCAAGACTCTGTAGATAATTCCTCAACATTTATAGCGCTCCACTTAAGGTATTTATAGCTCTTTTTAATTGTTGATATTTTATGAGGCACAATCATATCTTATCTGAAGTATACTATTTCTTGATGACTATTACACAAAGTAAAATAGACATTGAGACTGCTCCACACAATGACTTAACGCAACCTGGTCAGTGCCCACTGATTGTAAAAAATGGATGCATGCGAAAGCAATGTTCAAATATAACTCTGCTTTTGAACATCTCATGTTCTTCAATTGAACATTTTAAGCAGCATGGGTTCTTGAATTCAACTCATAGGTTATCCTACAAATCAAGTAATTCTCTAATTTCCACAGAGTTCCAGCATTAAATTAATTTAGTGATTCCTTAATTCAATACACAGGATTACAGAAATGATTCTATTAATTTTCTTTTCTCTTAATAAAAATGTGATGCCTGAGTTTTATGTGGCCTTCTGTGTGAGATAGGATTAGTGCTATCTAGGCTTTGCAATGTTTGAATAGATTAAATACTTCTTCGTTGTCCTTAATTTATTAAACACTAGTTCTGTGCTAAGTGAATTTACCACCTAATTATCTAATAATCAAATTAACATTGAGTTCTCCACAGAGGCACTTGAGTGTGTATCTTCATTTATTGAAAATCAGTGTAGGTTTTACATCATTATCTTTTAATATATTTAATAAACGTTAGATTTGTTGCTTAAGACACTTGTTTTGAGCATACAGGGCATCCACTTCCATTTTTTACTGTTAACTGGATACAGTAATCCTCATTCAAGAGAGAATCACGGGTAAATATTGACCAATATATTTTTACTTATTTTTTAATTTTCGGATAAAACACTAGAATCATTTGCTCTAGATCCATGTGATCCAGTTGAGATTAGTTCAAGGTAGGGAATCTTTGGACAACACCATAAGAATTCTGGTTAAAACTAAAATCTCCTGAACGGACTTCATATTTAATTAAAACAGAAAAAAGTGGATCTTTATGTTATTCACAAAGGAGCCATGGGGACGTTTAGGTCCTTGGTATAGAACACTGTTATATGGTATATACATCAAAGCACTATCACTTGAGTTTTTTTGTTTTGACATTTTAATTTTTTTGTAATTGTGTTTTTTTATCACATTAATTTTGCATTATATATACTCACAATGTGTTTGCAACAGATTATTAAAATACCCTTTAGCTCATTTTGCACAATTCGCTATTTAATTTGTCTGCTAAGATGGAATTTCCCACTGATGCTGGGGTACTATAAAGCTGTGGTGGGCTTAACACAATATGGCCATATGGTGGAACTGAATCCCCATATTTGTTTGCTGAGATATGTGATTTTAAGAAGCCTTGTGAAATGTAAAACTGTATTTGTATGTGTGTGCTGTTCTTTGAACTTTTATTATGTTGGCCTTTGGATATGTTAAAAAGCGGGCAAGCAAGATAGTTAGATAGGGAGATCCCTTTAACAGTACCACTTTGAATCTTCCTCTGAGATGTCGTTATACCAGCAAAGACCATCCTTAGCTTGTAAGTAACCTGAGTTGCAAAGAAAGCTATGATAGTTTTACAAAAAAGCTCCTCTTGGTACTCTCCTTCCGTTGATATTTTTTATTTTTTTTATTTTCAACCAGGGTATTGGTTACTCTCAATAAACTTTTTCTTCAATTTACACTTACAGTTACTACGTAACTTGCCAACGCAGAACTTTTCTGTTTAGGAGAGAGTTCTGTATTGACACAACACAGGTTCCAATCAGTTATCTTACTTTTAATCTGCCTCTTACTTTTTTAATTGCTTGTACTTACACTGTATTTTAGTCTGTACAATAAAAACCTGTGTGTGTGAGCGTGTCTGTGTTTGTGCGCAAGTTCATGTCGTTTATCAATAAAATACAGATACGGTTAGTTCTGTTGAGAGTAAAATGATAATTGAAAAAAAAAACACAGGTATCCTTGACATTTAAAAAACTAAATAGTATTAATTTATGTAAAATGTACAACTCTGTACTTTGTCTCTGTAGAATCTGTACTAAAGTTGCAATGCAATACTTTATAATAGCTTATTATATTTTAAGGGAAACATGTTAGTCCTAGAATTAAACTTATTTCTTTATTTGTCATGAAAAAATATACACAATAACATAAAACTTACACAGCTACGATTAAGTTCAGAAATGTGTTGTATTAAATCCTTTTTTATTTTCTCGAGCTATCATTATAACAAAACATGAGGGTAGTTTACAATGATCATGTAGACACTATTAAAATATTATTAACATCATATTTCTTATCTTGTTATCGCACAGAAAATACAATTTCATAGAATATTACAAAGATATAACACCATTTAAAAAGAAACATTATATATACATAGCCGCCTGTCTATATATCTAAATGAATAAATAATTATGCCTACAGATGCACCCCACACATGCATGCAAATAGATATATACACATACATAAACTTGCAAACATTCAAAACCTTTATAGTAGGCAGATTTAAAAGAATTCCCTGAAGAGATCTAAAGCATTGTGAATATAATGAAAATTAACACACTGTGAAACACAGCAGAAATGAATTCATGGGCAACGTAAATCAGGCTCAGATTCAAATATACAAAAAGACTAAAGCAATTTGTGGAATACATATACGAGTTCACAATAATCAAGAAACATTTTACATTAAGGTTTTTCTATACAAGTACTTGCACATCTTTTTGACATGGAAATACAAACCATAAAATATCAATAAGGAATCATTAATTGAACAAACATGTATTTCAACATCTAGAGTATTACGCTAATTAGTTAAATTCACCCTCTCCCCCCCAAAGAAATAATTGAAAAGGTTTTACCTGTATTAGCTATGTGTGCCAGTCTCACAGTGGCTGGTAATCCTCCTCTGGCTGAGATTATAATTACAGATTATCTCAGCCAATACAGTGCTTTCCCACAGAGATGCACTAGGGGGGCTACTGCACATCACCATGCTGCACAAATCAGGATATTGTCAAAGAGATGTACTGACTCAATGCATATCTCTGGGGAGTGTTAGGTCCTGCAATCTTTGCAGGCTTGTATCCAGGAAGCTGTCTAGTGGTTGTCCGAGTGACAGCTATAAGAGATGGCATTAGGCTGCAATGTAAACACTACTGAGCCTTCAGGGACCGTCTCTTTAACCTAAAACCATTACATTAAGTAGTCCCCCGAGTGTCCCTTTTATCATTATTTGCACTTATTCTGAAAAAAGTGCAGGTAATTCTTTACAAATTGGGCTGATTTATTCATTTACAAAGAATAATAATTAATTCCATATTGGGTTGATATACATGTTCTTGAGTTACTTCCTTTTTCACCTCCTAAAAAATGAATCTAAATAATAAATCTTTGAGAGGTTATTATAAATGCACCTCTGCTTTTAAAAGGGCATTAATAGTTGAAGTACATAAAAACAGTTTGGGCACAGTTGAAATAAATCTTTATATAGATAGAATAATGGATGAATTCATGGACCAATTGCATTTTCTCTGTTCTTAAAATCTCAACAATTCTTTCTATATTAAACTTTTAATCTTGAGTTGAATTTGTATGCATGGCTAAAACTGACAGCATTCTTTTTTAATTGTTGCTGGATATTTTCTTTTGAGCTGGAATTTAGTGATGTCACATGGGGATCCAATATTGGGAAACATATAGTCGTCTTGTTTCTTTTTATTTAGATCAAGGTCAAAGTAGATGTCCTTTATCTTCTGTCAATCTTACAATGTATTTAGCATTGTTTATCGGTGATTTCTCTTTCTGCCATTGTTTCTTATCAATCTCTTTTTTCTTAAATGGAATTTAAGGACACAATGCTGGCATACCTTGAAATATACTGTAAACATTGCAGTGTGTAAAGTATTTCTTCTGAAGATGTGTCTTCTATGAAAAGGAAGAATAACATTAAAAGGAAATTATTAATAGCAGCATACATAACTCTGGAATGTAATCTTCCATGCAATTGTCCAAGAATGATATGATTTGACTGTAGATTCCACCAGGGCCAGATTAAGAGCCCAGTGGGCCTGGTGCTGACAATTATGACGGGCCTAATTACAGAATCATATCGACCAAAAACAGTAAAACACTCCCAAGAATCATGTATCTGATGGAGATGGAGATGGTGCTGGAGAGAAAGAAAACAGCAGCTATAAGAAAACACATACCCTAGGCTAATCTCTCACTAATTTATGTTTTCATCTTTCAAGTAAATCCATAACCCCTAACAGCAGTGCCCAGTCAAGCAAGAAGTCAATGGGCATGGTAAAAGGGTGTGCCACTGACACAAATCACGTAACCTGCCAAAAGGGGCGAACATGCCCAAAAAGAGGACATGTCTGCTCAAAGAATTAGAAGGCCAGCCTGGCATGAATGCATGTCAGGCTGCCTACCAATCATGCAACTGGCCAACAAAGGGCATACTATGCAGACAGCACCCTGAGCTTGGCATAAATGCATCTAATGATGCGCTCGCTCAACGCTTTCTAAGGACTGTCCCCTAGCACTCGCTGGTCCACTTGTCTCCTTACCTTCTTACTAGCAGGCAGAAGCTCCTGGTATATGTCTGGGACAGAGAAAAGCTGTATGTAGTGAGTGTAGAAGAAAGGGAACATGCCACAGTGTTAGAGAGACCAAAGTCAGCATTACCTTAAAGGATCACTATAGGGTCAGGAACACAAACATGAATTCATGACCATATAGTGTTAACACCACCATCTAGCCCCCTGGGCCCCACATGCCTCCATAAATATAGCAAAATCCTACTATATTCAAGCCTGAAGCTGTAACTCTGCATGCTGTTAGGCTCATAAAAACAAGCAGTCTGCTGACATCATTAGAAGTGGTGGCCTGATCCAATCACAGTGCTTTCCCATAGGATTGGCTGAGACTGACAAAGAGGCAGATCAGGGGCAGAGCCAGCATGATTCAAACACAGCCCTGGCCAATCAGCATCTCCTTATATAGATGAATTTAATTAATGAATCTCTATGAGGAAAGTTCAGTGTCTGCATGCAGAGGGAGGAGATACTGAATGTTTGGATGCATTTTAGGCAGCCATGACAGTCATGTGGCCAGTGAAGTTATCACTAGTATGTAATGTAAACACAGCATTTTCTCTGAAAAGACCATGCTTACAGCAAAAAGCCTGATGGTAATGATTCTACTCACCAGAACAAATTTAATAAGCTGTAGTTGTTCTGGTGACTATAGTGTTTCTTTACCTATATTCATTGTCAGCCAGTCCACACAAATGTTGTTCCCATACATCCCTCTTAAGTTTCCATACTTAAGTAAGAGTATGTGAAAAGTAGTTAGGGTTGCCACCTTTCTTGGAAAAACATACCGGCCTTACTAATTTGCATAATTAAATATGTGTGGGTGACATCACATGATGTAAATCACAAGGAGTGACATAAGAGAAAATGCTGTAAAATCACCAAAAAACTACTTAGTTTAAATCTGCTGTATAGATGGATTCCTCCCAGTGCCCCCATGTCTCCCAGTGCCCTCATGACTCAGTGCCCCCATGTGTCGATTACTCCAGGTCTCAGTGTTCCTATGTATCAGTGTCTCAGTGCCCCATGTCTCCCAGTGTCCCCTAATGTTGTGTCCCCAGGTCTCCCAGTGATCCTATGTATCAGTGTCTCAATGCCCCATGTCTCCCTGTGTCCCCATGTATCCCAGGGTACCCATGTCACTAGGACACTAGGAAGACGGGGAGACCTGGGGACACGGGGAGACCTAGGGACAAGGAGACACCAGTGACACTGGGAGACTAGGGGGACACATGGGGACAATGGGAAAATAGGGGACACTTGAAGACATGGGGACACAGACACCAGGGACAAAGATACTAGAGACACTGACTGGGGGACATGGGGACATTGAGACATGGGGGCACTGGGAGACATGGGGACACTGAGACACCAGGGCCACAGACACTAGGAACATTAGCTTGGGGACATTGTGACACTTGAGGCACTGAGAGACATTGAGGCAATAGGAGACATGGGGATAGTGAGACACTGGCAGACTGTGGGCACTGGGAGACTAGGGGTCACTGGGAGACTAGGGGGCACTGAGACACCAGGGACACTGGCTGGGAGACATGGGGACACTATGTCCCCATGTGTCTGTGCCATAATGTCTCCCAATGTCCCTTAGTGTCTCAGTGTCTGCCATAATGTCTCCCAATGTCCCTTAGTGGCTCAGTGTCTGCCATAATGTCTCCCAGTGCCCCTTAGTGTCTCAGTGTATGTCTCCTTGCAGCCTTTTCCCCCATCCCTTACTTCCCTGAGCTGTAGGCTGTCTCTGCATGGTGGGAGTTGCTGTCTGGACTCTCTGTAGCTGCTCCCCTGTAGATCAGTGATTATAGATAGGCAGGGAGGGATATGCTGGAACTTCCTATCCCTGCCTGTCTCCACATACAGCGACCCCTACTGGCCAGTGCTGGTATTGCAGAGTAATCTCCATTTATACTGATACCAGCATTTATTTTGCCAGTATCACTGCAATATTGGCACCAGCCAGGCAGCCTCAAATACTGGCTGTGCCAATAAAATAAAAGCCATGTGGAATCCCTAAGAGTAGTGTGTGGAAAAAAAAAAAAAGTAAAAAAAAAAAATTTTTTTTTTTTTTTTTAAAATCAATGGGCCTATTCCATGGGCCTGGGCCTGGAGCTGCAGCTCCATCAGCCCCTATGTTAATCCGGCCCTGGATTCCACGCATGCTGGGTACATAATAGACATGTGCATGGACAAATCTTTCCATTCTTTTCAGTCATTCAGTTAACTTACATTTTCTTTCCCGGTTTGACTGACTTTTTGGTCATATATCTATCCTTTACGTTCAAAAGTCCGTTAAATTTTAGTTTAATTCCAACTTTCGAGGAAACTTTATTCTCTTTAAACAAATTAATCAAGTTTTTAAGATGGGATTAATGCAAACTTAAAGCAAATTAATAAATAACATAAAGAACAAATTAATAAATAATACTTTTATTGAAAGGCTATGTCATTTATTTATTATATGCATCTGAATGCACTCTGCAGACACCCAGAGCCAGATTAAAGTAAGTATTGGATGTAAGCCCAGAAAAAAGGTTGCAGACTGCTAGAAAGGGGGTTCACTCAGAGTCAGAACATCAACAGCCTGTGGACGTGAGCCCAGGGAAGAGGTAACATGGGCAGACAGGTAATCACTTTAATATTAAGACCTTGCAACAGAGTTAATGAAAAATTGCAGTGCTTTACAGAGGCAAAGCAATACAACCCTAATCCATTCCTAACAACCCCTAATGGGAGATGAGCAGCAGCCTATGAATGTGACCCGAGTGACAGGGGTGGCACTGACAACTGGGTAAAAGGGGCTTGACAGAAAGTCAGAAAAGTGGCAGCCTGAGGATTTGTGCCCACAAAAGAGTTCGCACTCGAGAGAGGCATTGACTTTAATATCAGGTTGCAGCAACGTAGTTAGCAGAAAATGCAGTACTTTACAGGGTGAAGCACTGCTGCCCTAGCCTATTCCCAACAACCCCTAAAGCAGGATCATTTATTCACTCAAAACAGAAGCAGCAGACTGGTTGGATGTGAGCCAAAGGAAGAGGTTGCAGGTACACTCCTAAAAAATAGAATGAAAGCTGTTGGTTCCTCCATTATCAACCTGCATTAACATGTCGAGACTGGTAGCTGAGCTTAGGAAGGTGGCATTTTAAAAAAAAATTCAGCTAAACCTGGTGAGAGATGTGACCTCTGGGGACTGAGGATGCTGTCAGTAAGTGAGAAGAAAATATTTCTGAGAAGGTTATTCCAAGAGCATGAGGCATTAGACAACATTTCTAGGACTTTCCAGGTACCTGTGTGTACAGGTAATGTACCCATAAGTAAGCGTCTCAGTATCCTCAGTGGACATGGGGTGTTTGACCAAACTGATGCAATCTCAACATAATAAACAGTTACATTTAAGTAGTTACATTTAAAACCAAAGAAAAAAGTTACTTGCACACTAACATAATTTAGTAATTTAAATCTATACCATAATTATACCATACCTATACCATAAAATTTTACCTTAACTATACAGAATCTGTTGGCGCCATATAAATGCTAATAATAATAATAATGCTAATAATTAAATAAATCATAAGTTGCTCCTGCTCAGCAGAGACCTTCAGAATGGCATTTTCCAGTGAAATTAAAACACTTCCTTAAGCAACTGAACAACCAGACTAAGTCTATACATAATTTTAGCACATTCCATATAAGGATAGCCCTATTAAGACTGGGGTCCAAGACTCAGACCTTGATTTGACAATCCCAAATGATTCAACACTCTTGGATAAACTTCCAAAATGATCTCTTTTTCAAAACACTCATATTAAGAAAATATCAGTAAATCAAAAAAAATCTAAATATTGAAATATTTAAATTATCCAAAATATTAAATCACCTTGAAAAATTACCAGATCAGACTTTATTCGTAGAAGTGCTGGGTTCTTCAATTATTAACAATCTCTTACTACAAAAGCCTATCGTCGGACAGTTGCTCATTATATTACCTAAATAACACACTCCCATCCAATAAAAAATATTTTACTGTCTAGGGTTTCACAGAGATTGTATACCCCAAATGGAAGATGAATGTCAAAAGTATGGGTCTCAGTGCAAACATGCAATGATTAATATAAGGAAGCAACATAAAGAGATTCTAAGTTAAAGTGTGTGTGCTGTAATAGGCACATCCTAAATCAGTAACATTGAGGTGTTCATTCTCATCACAATTATTATTTACAATCTCTATTACAGA